CTGCCATTTCACACAATTATTCCCCATGCATCATATTTTATAAAATCAATCACCATTGGACCCTGCCCATCATTATCCGGTCTTTTCAGGTTCCCACTGTATCCTTCCCATTTCTTTCATCCCCTTTCTCTCTCCACCAAACTGTGCAATCCATTCTCACCCTCCCCCCACCCCTTCCCGCCTTGGGTCCCCCATGTTTTATTAGTCATCCTTCTTCTATTTTTACAATAATGGTCTTATCCAGTATTTGTCCTTATGAGACTGAGTTAGTTCACTCAACATAATGTTCTCCAGTCTCCTCCAAGTGATGTAGTATTTTTCGAAATCGTTGCTCCTGAGTGCTGCGTTGTATTTCATTGTGTGAATGTACCACAGTTTCTCAATCCATTTGGCTGTGGTTGGAGACTTGGGAATTGCCCAGCTTTTTGTTGAACAGATATTTTTCTTGTTGTTGTGGGATGTTATCAAGTCAGCTACGACTCATAGCGACTGTATGTACAACAGAGCAAAGCCCTGCCGGATCCAGTATCATCCTCACTGAGTCAGTCCATCTCACTGAAAGTCGACCTCTCCTTTGCTGGCCCTTCCCTCGTCCCACCATGACATCCTTTCCCAATCCTGTGACAGCCTCACAATCCCTCAACACCCGAACCCTCGTTATAGGCATTGTGTCAATGCATCTCTTTGAAGGTCTTCCTCTCTTTCAATGACTTTTCCCAAAAAGATGTCTTTTTCTAAGACCTGGACCCTCCTGATAACATGTCCCAAACATGCGAGACAAAGTCTCACCGTCCTTCCTTCTCAGGAGTACCTGGGTGTGCAGATTTGCTTGTTCTTTTCACAGTCCGTGGGATGTTCAATACTCTTCATCGACACAACTCACAGGCCTCAACTCGTCTTTGGTCTTCCTTCTTCCTTCACTGTCCAGTTTGGGCATGCGTGTGAAGCAACGGACTAGGGAGTGGTCTGCGTATTGTCCCTTCTCTTGCACCAGCGGTTCCTCCTTCCTCCCGTGACCTCAAGGAGTAACTGGCCTCTTGTTCACTCTCTTTCAGCGCCGGGATGCTCAACATCACCTCCCAAGTCCTCCAGCCCACTGGTAACGTGACCCTCTCCCAGGGCCAAGGCTGCCTGTCCACAGAGCTGTGGAGCTGGCTCAACAGCATCCAGGCGCCCTTCCTCTGGGTCATCTTCGTGCTGGCAGCGCTCGAGAACATCTTTGTCCTCAGCGTCTTCTGCCTGCACAAGAGCAGCTGCACGGTGGCGGAGATCTACCTGGGCAACCTGGCCGTGGCTGACCTCATCCTGGCCTGTGGGCTGCCCTTCTGGGCCATCACGGTGGCCAACAACTTCGACTGGCTCTTCGGAGAGGTCCTCTGCCGTGTGGTGAACACCGTGATCTACATGAATTTGTACAGCAGCATCTGTTTCCTGATGCTGGTGAGCATTGACCGGTACCTGGCCCTGGTGAAGACCATGTCCATGGGCCGCATGCGCAGGGTGCGCTGGGCAAAACTCTACAGCCTGATCATCTGGGGGTGCACCCTGCTGCTGAGCTCGCCCATGCTGGCTTTCCGGACCATGGAGGAGTACAGCGAAGAGGGCCACAACGTCACGGCGTGCATGATCAGCTACCCGTCCACCACCTGGGAGGTGCTCACCAACGTCCTGCTGAACCTGGTGGGCTTCCTGCTGCCCCTGAGCATCATCACCTTCTGCACCGTGCAGATCATGCAGGTGCTGCGGAACAATGAGATGCAGAAGTTCAAGGAGATGCAGACGGAGAAGAAGGCCACGGTGCTGGTTCTGTCAGTGCTGCTGCTGTTCGTGGTGTGCTGGCTGCCCTTCCAGGTCAGCACCTTCCTGGACACGCTGCACAGCCTCGGCTTCTTCACCGACTGCCCGGAAGGGCAGGTCATCGACGTCTTCACGCAGATCAGCACCTACGTGGCTTACAGCAACAGCTGCCTCAACCCGCTGGTGTATGTCATCGTGGGCAAGCGCTTCCGCAAGAAGTCGTGGGAGGTGTACGGGGGCCTGTGCGGGAAAGGGGGCTGCGGGCCGGAGCCCACCCAGATCGAGAACTCCATGGCCACCATGAGGACCTCCATCTCGGTGGAACGCCAGATCCACAAAGTGTCCAACTGGGCAAGGAGCAGCCAGTGAGCACCAGCACCGGGCTGCCGCTGGCTCTCTGAGGCTTGGTGGACAGCTGGTCTCAAGCCTCGTCCCCCGGGGCCTGGTGTGTGAGCATGGCCCCGGAGGTGGTGTCTCCACCAACACCCAGGGAAGTGCTCCCTGGCACCACCGGGCTGCCGTGAGCGTGCAGGGAGGCTGGGCTGCACTAGTGGGCAGCCGAGGACTCTGCAAACTGCAGTATAATCATCCTTCCCCACTCCTCCCCATGGAAGGGTGGACCTGGGTGAGGACGTCTACCACACATGTCCCACAGCAGCTCGAGTCTCCAGGACAACTGCCCCAAGGACTAGCCATGGCAGAGTATGCATGCTGGACCAGGCCATTTGAAAGGGAGCTCTGGTGACCTAGTGGTAAGAAGCTGTGCTATAATCCCAAAGGCACATGGTTCGAATCCACCAGCTGCTTTGTGGGAGATTAGCCAATCTTCTTCTGTGCCATTTACCACCACCTCTGGAAACCTGCTGGAGGGTCAGTTCCCAGTGGGTTTTGGCTCCACGGTACCCAACAACTTCAGTCCTCACAGCTGGGATGTTGGAGGCTGGCTGCTCAGATGAACACGGGCAGCTCAGAGGGTCTCCTTCTGAGCCCAGGAGACCAGAGTTCTGTGGCCTGCCTCTCCTACGGATGCACAAGGCGCTTTGTGGGAAAGCAGAACCTATCAACACTTGGTGAGTGCTTGCCGTTTACCCAGCACTGAACACTGTGGACAAGTGGAAGGAAGAGAAGACCCCGTCCCTCTCTGGACGGAACTCAGAAGCTGCCCTGAGGATGGTGGGGTCCAGGCAGGCTCCACTGGGCACCTCCGGTGGTGCCGGGAGCGCCCAGCACAGACCACAGCTGTAACTGAGTGCTTCATTCCTGCCTCGGTCTCCGGCTTGGTAAAATGAGGCTGGTGTGAAGATGAAAGGCATAACAGTGCTTTAAGAAGTTAAAGGTGCTATGTACAGTTAAAGTGTTATGAGTATGCCTACAGAACAGAAATTAGTGTATTGAAGGAAAAGCCACGTTGTCTTAGAAATGGCTCCACAGAGAAGAAGTGATGCTGGTGACTCAAGTTTGGGAAAAACATCCATCAAGGCCCAGCACGTAGTAGATGGTCAGTAAACGTTAGCTCCCGCCCACCTTTCTTTCTACCACCCCACTCTCCATATCCCTCCCCTACCTCACACAGAAATATGGGATTTCCACCCTTTAAATGTTTGATTTGTAATAAACAGAGCAAGAAAAAGATCCCAGAGAGGATTTGTCCAGGGATCACAGGGGACACAGACCTCTCACTGTGTGTGGCAGTGGCCTGAGAGGCTCAAGTAGTGGTTTTCATCAAAGATGTCCAAGAGTGACCCAGAGAGGAGCCTGAAGCACTGGGGGTCCCAAAAAGAACAGACCAGTGATTGGCACAAGGGCCATTTGCCTCTAGCCAGCCCACTCTCAAGTCAACCTCCCCAATACTGGGCTGAGAATCCATTGGAGACAGTCAAGGCCATGGTTAGACAGAGATGGACAGAGAACTGGTAAGTTTCCCATAGAGTCAAATGCAGAGCAGACAAACCTCTGCCCAGCCCCTGAGTTAATGGGCGTGGCCTGCAGGTGGGTGGAGCTCTGGTGTCCAGCTAAAGGAAGCTGGTCTGGCATCCTTGGCCAGAGGCCAGGAGATAACCATATCCTAGATCTTTCCTCCTGGGGCAATTCATTTTTCCTTTATTGAGAAGTCTAAATAAGCTTCCGTGTGACAAGACAAGACCCACATGGAACATCAAATCCAGTGAAGAAGTTCAGTAGTGCCATAACTGACGGCAGTGTAGACAGGTAGATAGTATCTCAAGACGAGCTCACTCCAGAAACACATCTTTGCTGGCTTTCTGGAGAGGCTGGGACCTAGAAGACTGAGGACTTTGGATGGCAAAGACTCCACAAAGACTGACAAGTCCAGCTCTGAATTTGAGGACAAAATGAGCCCCCAAAATTCCATCTACTCTACACTTTTTCACCTCTCACACACTGCTGTCACATGAATAAGCCTACACACTTGTAGCTAGAGAAAGAAAACAGATTGAACAAGAGGTTGTTTTTATTGTGTTGGCGTTAGATTCTATCAATTTGGTTATGTGTGACTCACAGGGACACGATGTACAACACTGTACATACATAGGTAAGAACACTGCCCAGTCCAGCAGCAGCCTCTCACACATTGCTTTGTTTAAGTCCATTGTTGCAATCACTGTGTGCATTTGCTTCTTGTTCACTGACTCTCTCCTTTATCAGTAAAGAGCACCATTGGCATAGTCCACACAGAGTCGTGTTGTTAATCTAAGGGTTGCATTGCTCTGTTGGTTCACCTCCACCAGCAGCTTCATGAGAGAGATTGGCAGTCCTCTCCTGTGCAACTTACAGTTTCAGAAAATCTGCTAGAGGGTCAGCTGTGTATCAGTTCGGACTCTACAGCAATGACTTCTGCTGCTTTGCCAGACCTAATGTCCTTCTCCTGGGATTAAACCCTCCTGATAACATGTTCAAAGTAAGTGAGATCAAGTCCCACATTTTTGCTTCTAAGGAGCATTCATTCTGGCTGTACTTCATCTAAGATCTGCTCCTTCCTCTGACGGTCCATGGTGCATTCTCCACTCTTAGCCACCACCATAATTCAGAGGCAACTGTTCTTCTCTGGTCTTGCTTAGTCATGGTCCACATTTCATGTGCATATGAAGTCAGAAGTAGTATTAAACTTTGCCACTGTTATTGGAGAGAGACGGTACCTCGTGGTTTTGATTTGCGTCTCTCTTACTGCCTGTGATTTGCTAGTGATTTGGAGCAGCAAGTAATAAATGTTGGAGAGGATGTGGTGAGAAAGGAGCTCTTATACATTGTTGGTGGGATTGTAAAATTGTACAACCATTCTGGAAGGCAGTTTGGTGCTTCCTCATAAAGCTGAATATAGAAATTCCATATGACCCATCTATTCCACTACTTGGAATATACCCTGAGAAAATGAGAACTGAGGCACACAGATTTGTACACCAATGCTCATAGCAGCATTATTCACCATTGCATGAACATGGAAACAGCCCAAATGTTCAACTACAAATGAATGAATTGAAAAATTATGGTTACACTCACACAGTGGAATACTATGCAGCACGCAGAAGAAGTGATTTTGTAAATTATTACCTAACTTGGGGAGATATTGGAGAGCATTATGCTGAGTGAACTCAGACCCACACGGATAAATATTGTATAAAACCATTGTTGTAAAATGAGTATAAGGATCCAAGAGGCTTGGGAGAGGCTGGAAGCAGAGGGATGAGAATGTGCAGGGGGCAGGGGGATTAATCATGGGGTTGTACAATTTGACAGGTGGGAGGGTGAGGGAAATTGAAAGAATTTGTTCTTGAAAACAGTGTATTCAAATTTTTTAAATAAACTAGTAGAAAATTTTTTTAAATTCAAAGAAATAGATGAAATTTTAAAAAATAAACACTTACTGATGAATCTTAAAAAAATTACTAAGAAGAAGAATTATTAAACAGAACCAAACCATGTACATTGCTGTTATAGGCCACAAATTCATGACAAACCCACATACAATGAAAGAAACACTATTTGATCCTGTTTCATCCCCATGACCAATTTCAGATCCAATTATTATCATCCATAAAGGTTTTTTTGACTGAACTTTGGACATAGATCACCAGGCCTGTATCTCTTATCTGGAAGGTAATATTGCTAGAAACCTGTCCAACATCATATCAGTACAGAGACCTGCACAGCTGGGAGATGACTGTGCATTAGCTGGGTATTGTCCTGGGTTCATCAGTGATCCTAGAAGCAACCTCATCTGTGGAAGGGAAGTGGCCCTGTGTATTGTGTTGATGCAGTGTGTTGTGAATGTAATTGTGCCCTCTCTAAATATGTGTAACTTGGCTGGGTCATGATTCTAAGTGGTTTGGCAGTTATGTAATAATGTAATTTAGCAATTAGGCCATGATATGATCTTTTCCAGTGATGTGCTGTGATCGGCCAATCAGCTGTAAAGGGATGAGTGTGTAATGCCATTCCCTTATCCAGGTCACAATCCTGATGATGTAAGGGGATTTTCACTGGAGTATGGTCTGCATGACCTTTTAACTTACAAGAGATAAAAGGGAGAAAGAAGCAAGTAGAGAAGAGGGACCTCTAACCACCATGAAAGAAAACTAGGAGTGGAGCCTATCCTCCAGACTTAGGGTCTTTGTGCTGAGAAACTCATAGACCCAAAGGGAAAATAATGAAAATGACCTTGACCTCAAGTCAAAAAAGAGAGGAAGCCTTCTCCTGGATCTGGGGTCCTGAATTCAAACCTCTGGCCTCCTAAACTGTGAGGAAAGAAATGAAATTTCTGTTTGTTAAAGCTGTCCACCTGTGGTAATTGTTACAGCAGCACTACTAGCGAAGATACTGTGATAAAGAATGAACATTCTCTGTCTTATAAAAGACATAAAGAGCTATTGTAAAGAAGCAATTCATATATGAATGAGAAAATGGATAAACTATGTAAACACATGTCTTCTCTGTATGATAAAATAAACAGAAGTTCTTTGTACAGCTCTCACTTATTACAGCTCTCACTTATTACAGCTCCTGAGCCTCCGAATTTTATGTCTGTCATTGGTTAGGGGAACTGATTTGGGAAGGCTAGTAGGTCAATCTACTCCAGGGCACCTTTCTTTTGTGTCAGTGGCCCCTAGGCTTTTGAAATTGTGTAACCCTATATTTTTTTTTTATTTACTATACATGTTGCCGTGAGGCTGAACACTGTGACACTGATGTGTCAAATGTGTTAATGGTTTGTTATCCAATGCGGACAGAGAGTGGGGTGGAGCTCCCCGATTAAAACAAGCTTGGAAGGAGGAGTGGCATCCACTTCCGTAATAGCTTGCCTCCAGAAACCCTATGAACCTGGAGAGAGGATGAAAGATACCCAAGCGTTGAGG